GATTATTCTCTTATTGGCTATTTATTTTTAAAACTTTACAAGACTTTAGAGAATTCTTTTAGACCTCACAATATGAGAAAATATTTTCAGATTTACTGTCATAATCCCATCAACCACATAATTGTATAGATCGCAACACATTGGTCACCACTAAGGAGAAGCATGGACTTAATTGTTTACATAGGCAAGGTTGACACCAACGTCATACTTCATTAAATCTACTAATAAGTAGAAGCCTAAAAACAACGCAGGTCACTAACATTTTAGAACCGATCAATCTATTATCAGAGAATAGTCTGAGACTTGGTGGATAGACTAAAATTCTTAGGAAGTATTTAAATCTTTTATTTGGAATTTCGCGTGTTTCCTCATTTCCATCATAGGTAAATGTGAAACCTCTATTAACAGTCAAATCAAAGAGGATAAAGAATTAATAACTTTATTGTCATTCGAATTGCTTTATAGATAACTGTATATTTTTCTTTCAAACTTATGAATTTTTAAAACCTCTAAGCAAAAAAAATTAAGCCTCTTTTAAACGAATTGAAAGATATTTCTTTCTTCAGTAAAAAAATGCAAGTGAAATTTCAAATAAAATTATGGCTTATTCTACTCGGAAACCGGTATATAAAATAATTGACTCTTATATTTAATTTCTTTTTGAATATATTTTTATCAATTAAAACAAAAAATTATGCCTAATTCTCTAACTCAAGTTCGGTTATTGAATCATCCTCGAAAGAAAATAATCATTAATGAATATATTAAAAATTGATTTATAACCCCATATATGTAAATTATTGCGAATATTATTTTTTCTAAGTCTATGTTTTTATTTTTACTATTTTTGAAGTTTTTTTTTAAATAAATATAAAAAGATAAGATATTTTAATAAAAATTTGATAAATTTTATTTATGACCCTATCAATTTAAACTTTCAATTTTTTTTCCTACCCAAAATAATGCGAAATCTAGTGAAGTCCGGTGTGTTAACGGTTCTCTATTCAGTCTTTGAAATCATGATCGATCAGGATCATGATCTAGTCAGGTCTTTTTCTTTGATTGGAATTTATTTTAATATTAAATTAAACTTGATTAAAAAGTGTTATATAAATAATTTTAATTTTAAAAAAGATGCTAAGAATTTTAATTCATTATTGTCATTCCTATGTTTTCGTTTTCAAAATCAAAAACAATCATAAAGTAATCAATTTCAATGTAAGATTTTTCTATTATTAAAATATGAATATAAGTTTCTTCATAGAGGTATTTATAGAGAAACTTCTTTTGTTTAAAACACTTTAAAATATGAACGTAAAATTAGGCATTGAATTAATTTTTTAGTTCCCTTTTAAAATATACTAGTCAACAATTTATTAATACTAACACCAATTTGAATTCTTTATTCCTATCAATTTAATAAAAGAATATTTCTTTTGGGAACTTTTAACTTGTGTATCTGTATTGTGCTTGCTTGAGAGGTCTGCAAATGGCAAATTTTCAGGTCCGGTGTGGTGGGAATTTAATTAATGCCCGACGCGGCCCCCTCCCTGTTTCATATTTTATTAAGGTTCTCCTGGGTTTAAAAATATTTTTAAATACAAGGCCTAAACCATAACATTTGTTGTTGAACACCAAAATAAACAACTATTTAAAATCTTGGGGAGTGATTAAATTTAGAAAAAAATAAAACTATACTTTATAAATTATCACTTCTATTAAATATCAGAATTCAATCAAAAAAAAATTTCGGACCGAGCAACGAACTGGGCATTGCATGTCTCTAGGCTTTTATTACAGCTTCTCCTATCTTGCATATTCTTAAGTTTATATTTGAGGGTTTTAATTTTATTAAATATCTAGGTTCTTTATTTGAAATTAATTAAAATATTTTCATCTTTAATTTATAGAATATCATTGTCAACAGAAAGAGTAGCAAATTGATTTTTTTTTATTGATACGAATGTTAATTTTAAAAGAAAATATCACTCTATGTTTTTAATTCAGTTTGCATTTTAAATTAGTTTGAAAAATATTTTACCTTTATATGAAATTAAAAAATTTTTAGGAACCTTTTATAAAAAAAATAAGGAAACATCCAGTTTTTCAATTCATAACCGCTATCCACTCTGGTCTTTAAATTTTTTTAAATTAAAATTAATGTAACTTAGTGTAACGAAATACATTTTTTAATAATAATATTTTGTAATTATGAAATAACATTTTAGATTCAATTTTTTTTGCTCACCTATGAACGAATAAGATATTTCATAATTTTTTTTATTGTTCTTTCATATCATTAATATTCATATATGAAGGCGTTTCTGAATATATTTTATGGGGTTAAGGTGCTTCTGGGCATAATAAATTATGAAAGCAAGATAGAAATAAGAAAGTATGCGACAGATTAAAATAAAGTTTTATACATACAAAAAAAATTAGATTTTTTTTGAAATTGTAATAAGAAATTATTTATCATACCCCTTAACCCTTTTTAAAACTTATTAATGTTTACTACATTATCATACTTTGTACTTTTGTATGAAATTTTGAAATGCTGTGCATATACATTTATTTTTTCAACTCTAAATATTAGAAATAAAAACACAAGGTAAACGAACGTCATGATGTGTCATAACTTCGTATAAATATAAATAATATCCTGTAGTTGCAATTTTTATTCAAATATCATTTAAAATTAAAATTAAAAAGAAACTTTAAAATGAGCACAATGAATAAAAATATTGGAATTCAAAAAATTAAAGGGTATGAAATAATTGTTTTAGACTTGCATTAATTAATAACATTGTTTAAAATATATAATTATAATCTTATTTTAAGAAAATCATGAGTTTTATATAAGGATGATTATTTTAATGAAAATATAATTTTAATTTGAAATATAAGGTAGAAATCTTTGGGCTTTTTATTTTTGGCAATATACTATATATGATTATCTAAACTAAATATAATAAAAAGTTAATTATTTAAAATATCTGATAATTTCTATTAATTGATGCATCCAAAATAGGATGAAAACTCATGTATCCCCTTTCCGGATATAAGATTTGACCATCTCTACTCACCATTCATTAATATAATCATCCTTTTCTCATGGGCTAAACATTAGTCTAATCAGAATATCCTTTAAAGCCATGTTCAACTTATAGGGCTATAATTTTCCTTTTTTCCTAAATAAATTCTTAAACTAATGTTGTTAAAAGAGTCCGGTTTTTAAAAATGGTCCGATTAAGATTTTAGTCAAAATATGTTATGTAAGCCTCGAGATTTGGCAAATAGAGGTCCAAACCTTTCTGTAATCTATGAGCAATATCTCCGAACTCTTACATAATATTATTTATTTTGCAATAAATTTTAGTAAACATTATTTTTATTGCTTTATTATTAATGATTTATATAAAAAATTGCACATAGCTAATATATTTAAGCATTTTGTAATATATTTTACTCGTTTTGAATCATGTATATCTCTTTCAAGCATAATAACATTTATTGGGAACCACTTAATACTAAATTTTTTATGCTGAAAGCATCTATACTGAGACCACCAAACATAAAAATGAACCTATTTTTTATCATTATAGTTTAACTACGCATTTTTATATACAATTTATAATTAATATTGCTAATAACAAATACTAATAATTAATAACAGCTTTTCTTTCGCATCTGAAAAGGATATACATCTATTTGCAAATTTGGTGCCTCCAATGATCCGGTAAATGGATAAAAAATAGAAATACCCAACTCATCTTTCTTCATATTTTAGTTTAGGCGGACATAACAGAAAGATTAAATGTTTCACACGATTTTTCTAATTGGATATTTTTCTTTAAATAATTTTTTAAGCACTTGCTCTTTGTTTTAAAATCTATATATTTTTTTTAATCTTACAAATAACATTACTTACGATAATATCAAATCTATAATCTTTAAGTATAAGATGACATTTTTAAAGAAAAATCATATCAAGCAACACGCGGTTATTCTTCTACTTTACTAGCGTAAGTCAGAGCAGCTAAATCCTTCGAACAAGATGGGACGTTTGGCGCTACCCGTCACATTAACAATACTAACTTAAATACCATAATTTTTTAAATAAAAAACAAAAATAAACTTGTTTTTTAGGTTTTTTTTCTCTCGTTTTACCCCTACTAAAAAATATCCGCAATTATTTTGTTGTCACTTTCTTAAATATGCCACTACTAGAATCTCTTCCATAATTTTACCTTTATTCATATCATATATTCTCTATTTACAATTCGATTTTAATCATTAACTTATAACACCGAAAATTCTAACAAATGCGTATATATTTAGAATTTTTATCAATTGTAACCCGATTATAAATTGTTTTTTTATAAAAAATCGTTAATTTAAACTATCTTTGAGTCATTTTTGAATTTAAAAATCCTGATTTTTTGCTAGATCATAAATATCATACTATAACTGATTGCTTTGATTACGAGTAAAATCAAAACTTTTTTAAAATATTTACAGCAATGATAGTTATTTGTTTAAATTTTTATACATTTATAACTTCATGACCATATGTCATATCCTGGATTTCAAATAATACATTTTTAAATTAATGAGAAATTTCTTTATTCTTGCAATATTGTACAACACAATCTAAACCTTGAAATAATTGGCACACAATAGTATTTATAGTAATTTTTATAAAAAAATCTACAAAAATTCATTTTGGCAATGGAAACCTATAATCCTAAGAAATATAATCTGGATAATTAACAGGACGTTAAATTAAGTCCTTTATCATATAATGTTTATATTTAAATTATATTTCTTTCATGTAAACATCGAATTTTTTTTTCAATTAATTAATATAATTTTTATCTTCGTTTATTTAAATCTTATATGTATTTGTAAATTCGGTTTTTTTGTTAAAAAAATTTAATATGATTATATTTATAGTTATATAATTTTGGTCGATTAAAATGTAAATGAATTCCAATATTTTTGTTTTGTTTAATTTTTATCAGATGCTAGATAATATAATGTTACCATTGATTGAAAGTTAACCACTTTTATTTACTTATAATTTAATCACTTTCGATACAAACACTTAAAAATAAATTATTTTTTTTACCTGTTTATTTCTATATTTCTTTCTTTTATATAATCATAAACTGAGTTTCTTATCATTCAATTTTGATCTTTGAAAATTAACAAAAATATATATATGGTTGGACAAATAATCGGGTATATCTTGTGTTTTAATTTTTTTTAAAATTATTACAATATAAATTAAATCAAATTTTGATCAAATTCCAATTTACAGTATAAAATTAAAAATAGCAATTTTTTTATAAAGATGGATCTTGATATTTATTGTGCCCAGTTTCTTGAGGACGTCATTTAGAAAATTTTTATTTATTTTTATACAGATTTGCACCTGAAGTCAGAAATGATGTTGAATCACAGGGAGAAAAGGACGATATATACGAAAAGGTATTGAAAGCGGCTGACTATATAAATTCTTTACTTAAACCTAATTTAAATCCCACTATCGGTATAATTTGTGGTTCTGGTCTTTATGAAATCGGAAACGTTTTACAAAATAAGGTCGAAATTCCATATGAAAATATTCCGGAGATGGCTTATAGTAAAGGTAAATTAGAATTTTTTCTAAAAAAAACACAATTTTATTATAAATTTTTTAAATGTAAAATTTAAGTCAAAGGTCATCATAATATGATAGTGGCTGGAAAATTAGGCGATAAAGATGTTGTATGTTTTCAAGGTCGGTGTCATTTTTATGAAGGAGTGCCTCTTTGGAAGGTACGATAATATTTATTTAAATTTTTAAATCATACAATTAATCTTATCGAAAAGACAACCATGTCAGTCAGAATTATGAAAATGTTGGGTGTAAAGTTATTGTGCGTGACAAATGCAGCTGGCGGCATAAATGAGAATTATAAGGTAGGAGATATAATGGTTATAAAAGATCACATAAATTTCTTGGGAATCGCTGGAAACAACGCATTAGTTGGTGAAAATGATTCAAGGTACAAATATAATATATTTCTATAATCTTTTTCTCTAAGTGGGATTAATGAAAATGTATTCATAAAATTAAGCAATGATTAATTGCTAATTTTATTTTATTTTGTATTAGGTATGGCACAAGATTTCCTAGCATGTCAAATGCATATGATAAGAATATAAGAAAATCCTGCAAAAATGCCTTTGATAAACTAAAATTATCTCACTTGTACCACGAAGGTGTATATTGTTGCGTGTGTGGTCCTAACTATGAAACTAAATCTGAGGTCAGAATGCTCAAGTTAATGAAGGGAGACGCTGTTGGTGAGTACATGCGCTTTGATTTATGCTTTAATTTATTATTAAAATCTTTGGAGAGGTCTATAGTTAAAACTTCTAATACAATAATTTTTTATTCATCATTCGTGATTTATTTTATCCTTTCCCAATCACCTTAATGACATAAAAATGGAAAGTTTATAATATAATATATAAATTTATTTAATTAATCGATCCAGATAAATTGCTGTAAATTCCATAATCTAACTATCATTTATATATTGTCTCTTCTTCATAGGGCAAAGAAAAAAAATGTCGTTTTTCATGATAAGAGAAGACAATATTCAGAGTGGGATGGCTAGACTAAAGTTTAAATGTAATTTAAAAAAATTAACTCTGGATTTCGCACGGTAAAGTTTATAGGAATTTTATTATTTCTTTTAATGTTAGCTCACATTTCCGAATATTTTATAGAAGTTTATTCTTTTTCTGACTGCAATACGTAGTATTAAAGAACATCGTTGGTAAATTCTAATGGCATTGATGCATGATAATAAATGTTAAAATAAAATATCTGGCCGTAGTGTAGTTTTAGCACATGTTTTTACCACTGAAAATTTGAGGATATTAATTTATATAATAAACGCTTAATAATCATTTTCATGTCATTTTAACTTCAATGCCAGAATTAAGAATTATTAAACTCTAACTTCTTTCTTAATATAAAAACATTCAACTATCCTTCAGGTAATAAAAATGGCACCAAACTAATTAATTTATCCAATACAAATGCTTTAATCATTTTCTTCAAGAGATAGATATTGTTAAAAGCTTAATCAGAATAAATCTCCAATAATAGAAATCGATAAAAGAACAAGAAATAAATTGGATTAATCAAATACATTACTTGATAAAAATAAGTGAAAAGTCTCCAAAGCTTCAATGACAAATATTTAAAAAAAATGAAAAATATTTATCGATGAATTTAATAAATAATCCCTGGCTTTCTTAAAGGTATAGTTCGCCAAATAAAAAAAAGCCAAGGCTAAGAAAAAAAAATTTTAATTTAAAATTTTTTTATAATTAGGATACCGTTCTGATGAACAATTTAGAATTATCTAGTGCTATTGCTTTATAAGAAATAGATTAATCTTTCTCTATAACAATGTGATTGGAAATGCCCTAGAACAATTGAATATACCCCATAAAAAATTAAATTCTTACTATATTCCCTAGCCTTTCCAACTTCCGGGGGTTCACTTTTTGAAAATTTTCACAATTAGCAAATAAGGGGCTTAAAAAATTATAAAAATTTTGGACCAGTCTCGAAAATAAAAATTAATAAACATTTCAACTCGAACTCGGTGGAAATTAATTTAATTTTCAGGATTCTATTAGTTAGACAAAACTCTTAATCATACATCAAGTCACTATCAACAATCATAATGCTCTGTGTGATTTAAAGTATTTATCAGAATACAATCGCCATTATAGAATAATAATATTTTTATATTTTTTTAGAACATGAAATTATCTCCGTTCCTTGTTTCTTTTCTTTCTGATTTTCAAAACTAGTGAGGTATACAACATAAATCTTAAAAATATAAAGAAAATATTAATCTTATAAAAATAATTTGTATCGTATATTTGGAAATTAAATGGAAAATTAAATATTAGAAGAGTTGAAATTCAAACATAATTTTAATCTTGTATAAAAGAATTAATTTATAAATTGTAAACAAATTTTGACTTTAATATTAGGATAATAATGGAATATTAACTCCTATTGTTTATATTATTTAAAGGAATGAGCACAGCTCATGAAGTTACAGTAGCCAGACACTGTGATATAAAAGTATGTGGCCTAAGCCTTATAACTAATGTTATAATTGAGGGAGATGCTGAAGATGCTGAAGCGAACCATGAAGATGTATTGAAATTAGCAGAAGTGGGTGTGCAATATATGGCTTCTGTAATAAAAGAAATGATTTTATGTCTATAATGATATCTTTTTTTAAAAATATATATCCATTTATTTATAATATGTGGTTTTAGTTTTATCAAAAATCGAAATAAAAAATATGGTGTTAAGAATTTTTATTTATAGATACACTAATAACATAATGTCATTTTTCAATTTATTGCTACTTTTTCAAAAGCATAGGCTATATTGTGTAAGAAAGTTTCGTCATCTAGTATGGTATACGTATTATGTACGGAGAAGATGTTGCTCATAAATGGAACAAAGGTTTGTATATTTATTAGCATTTCTGGCAATATTGAGTTAGCCGTTTTTAAAAATCGGCTCATTCGAGCCGTTTAACAACACTACTTAGAAAATTCGATTTTTTAACTAACGCCGCTGTCAAAAATATTATTAAGAGAATTCATTTTTATATTTTTTTTCTTTAACAAAAATTTAAGATAATGGAGAATAATCGTTACATAGGTAGATTAATTTCATTCATCAGAGACCTGCAAGCCCAGCCCTAAGCTAAGGCATATATTAATTTTTTTAAATATACCAAGGCCGGGCCTAGCTCAAAATTTTTAAAAAACATCCAGGCCTAAGGCCAAATATTTTAAATCTCCATTTAGTTAAATTAAAAATAAATATTTTTTAAAAAAATACGGGTCAGATCGTGCAAATGATACGCCTGCAGGTCTCTACTATTTATCAAAAGGCGACTAAGCTAGCATAAAATAATAACTTGAGCCTAATCATAATTGGGGAGCATCGAAAAGTCGTGAGGGAAACAAACTAAAATTATAATATAAACAAAATAAAAATACAATCAGCAGTAAAAATTCTCTATGAGGTTAAATGTTTTATCTAAAATATTAAATTTGGCTTCTTCAAAATAATAAGATAGCTATTTTTCAAGATAAGAGTAGGTTGAAGAGTGAGGACTAAACAAAATAACGGGTATTTGTTAATCTTAGTCCTTATTAAATTAACCTTATCATGACAGAACGTCCTTGGAGCATGTCCCGTTGATGATGATAACGCCTTAGGATTAAGGAATGGTTTGCCTTTCAAATGTTATAGATTTAGTATTATTTTTTATAAATAAATCAAACTTCTTATAGGAAACTTACCAAAATTTGTAAAACTGATATAATTTTAAACGGTTTTACTATTTAAAAAATTTAAACATATTATTACAATTTTTACGAAGTGAAATCAGTTACCTTTCTAAAAATTTAGTACCTAATAATACATTATATGGCAAAAATTAATTATTAAACAACATTTCATTTATATTTTATGCTTTATTTATAATTTTAAGGAAAAATATATTATTAAAAACCAATCATGGAAAATTATAATATTTTATAACAAAAAGTTAGGAAGGGACAGCTCCATCCTGGAAAAAAAAACAAGGCATAGGCCAAGGGTATTATAAAATTGTTTAAAATTTAATTTTAAAAAAATCATGTTTAATGGTTTATCATTGATAGGATAAGAATATAAAACACAATTAATCAGTAATGATGAAGTCCTTAGGCGATAAAGATGTTTCTATTTTAAAATAAGTTGATATAATAAATTATAATGTTAATGACCATTTTTAATTAGTGTTAAATACATAAATTATAAACTTTATTTTGATCAACATAACCTATAAAAACAAATCTATTAATAAATATTATGCATGTATACCTGTGCGCCGAAATATCAGTTGGTGAGGACAGAATTTTTATTTTTTCTGTATACCTGTGCGCCGAAATATCAGTTGGTGAGGACAGAATTTTTATTTTTTTCGGGCGTTTGTGAGCGCTAAAGCTACTATATACCATATTTTTTTTATTAGTGATAACATCACTTAATCCAATCAAATATTCATTTTATTATTTTTTAATATTATACGCCATATTTAAAAAGTTAGGGTTTTGGTAAGTTCAAGAAAATAAAATATTTAATAAAGTTAAAAATATATTATCAAAAGAGGATACAATAATTTCTTATTAGGTCGATATTCCTGTCTGATTTTTTGTGACTCTTACGAAGATGGTCTAGGAGCTGTTATTGCACACAGATTTCTTACTGTTCATGATTAACCGATTGCTTAAGCATCGAGGACACTTTGGCGGCTGAAAATAATCACTTAACCATTGATCAAGAGACTTCGACGATCATCTTCGCTATCGAGAAGTCACATCAATATAATTATGGAAGCATTATAAAAGAGACCTAAATAAAATAACCAGGCGCGTACGCAGGAATTTGGTTTGAGGGGGGGGGATAATAAATTTTTTTAAGAAATATTATTGTTAATTAAAAATACTAAGCATAAATTTATTAGGACTAATAACTTTTCTAATACACAATTTTAAATTAATGTGAATTATAAAAAAATTATATATATAAACCAGCATTGAAAAACTATAAAATAAATGTGAATTATAAAATATAAAGTGAATGTAACCACGATATGAATCACTTAAATGACCCAAAATTGAAATTTGAATGTTTTGAGCCTTTAAAATATATAAAGTTAAAAAAATTTAAATGTTGAAAATATAAATTAATTAATACACAAAAAGTTTCTTAGGAATAATTGTATTTTGTATGTTTTGAGCTAATTTTTCAATTATCTATCCTTGTTTGGCGTTTAATGCCTATGAATATTCAAAGGATCCAATCATTCGATCTACTTTCAGAAGTTGTATTTCATAGGTATGTTTTTCAGAGACTTGCAGGCCCGGCCCCCGAGCCAATTTTAATACATTGGGAATATAATCTAAAATGTGTTTGAAATAATGCAACACATCCATAGCATTTTTTGCGACTGTGTCAACCATAGTTAATCTTTTAATTATAGTTATTCAGCTAATAAGGCATCTGAAGATATTTTAACATCTTCATGATAAAAATCTAAAAAATATTTATTTTTTTTTCTATCACCATCTGAAAAAGGTTTGAAAGGCTTTTGTGGAAGAAATATATGCGGATTTGTAAGTGCTGCATGATGAATTAATACATTCATTTATTTGGGTTATAAATGTATCTAAGAGAGGGGACATTTGTTTTATAATACTCTTCTACTGATCTTATATTAATGTTGACGATGAGCTTGCTTGCTACAAGTCGAGGGGGACAAATATTAAACACGTATAGCTCTGCTTTTGACTCAACAATAACATATAAAATATGTTCTTCATCAACATTAGCTCTAATTTTCTTGAGTTTTAATAAAATGCTCTCCGCTATTCCCATCTTCTTAATCAAGTCAATGTCATGTTTTTGAAAAATATTACATAAAATAGTTGTATAATTATATAATACATTCTAATGAGAAAAAAAATTTGGAATAGGTATTGAATCCAATAATTTTCTTGCTTCTGAGGAAATATTTCTTTCAAGCCATTGTGATATTTCAGTATGAATAATCGGCTCTCATAACTCCATAAAAGCTGTTACTGGTGGAGACTCGATCTCGTTGGACAAACTTGCAATTTCTTTCTCCCTGTTGGACAAGGAGTTTCAGAGATAATTATTATTTGACTAGAAATTTAGATAAATAATACGCCACTAAAGTTTAAAAATAATAGGTAAATTACGCCAAGGAAAACTTGAAATCGAGATTAATTGATATTAGTAGATGAATGTGATAAATAAATATAATTAAATATATATGAGATAGGAATATATTAACAAATGTAAATTAATATTAACAATAATATCTTTGAAAAATATAAATGGCATCTGCATTTTTTAGCTTTGAGGGGGGGGGGGGATTTGTCCCCCTGCCCCCCCCGCTGCGTACGCACCTGAAAATAACAAATAATCGTTTAATATGGTGGGTGACGAAGCTATTAAATAACGACTATGAGATAATTTATAGACCTGGTAATCAAAACAAATGTGCCGCTCTATTCCGTTTGGGAGTAGTGGGAGCAAAAACCAATAAGGTTATAAAATTCGAAGATGAAATCAGAGAATTAAAAATTAATTTAATATAAGATTTATCTTTCATTCGCAGTAAAGTCGTAAGTAAAACAAGCAATAAAATCAATCTGAAAGTGTATAATTAAATATCATTGGTATATTGATAATCTAAATAATTTTTCGTAAGATATTTTATTCGAAGAAGGATTATTATTTTATAATGATTATCCTTGATAATCTAAAGAAGGACATTCTGAATAGTGGGGATGAAATTATTATGCAGATACTATTTTGGCAAATCTTGATTGTGATGTTGTTAATTTCGTTAAATGCTTATTTGCCAGGAAAGAAGACCGGGAGCCAGAGAAATGCCGTTATACAATTGAACATTCATACCCGACCTTGGGAACGAATACACATTGATTTAACAGGCCCCGAATCTGGTATGTATTGGTTGATTTACGTAGACGCCTTCATCATATGGGTTGAAGTTGCAATTTTAACAAATATTAATTTGGCAACAATAAATAATCTGCATAATTATTTTGCTAGATTTGGGTTACCTCATTACATTGTTTCAGATAACGGTACTCAGTTTACTGGATCTGAATTCAAAACGTTTCTTTTTAAAAACATAAAAGATATTAGATCGGCCGCTTATAGCCTAAAATCGAATGGTTTTGCTGAGCGCTATATACATATGATAAAGACGCGTTTCTATGCTGGAAGGAGATGTGGGACTTAGACCAGTTAAATTTAGAGAATGTTTTAATTACTTGCCGAAATACTCCAAATACAACTACCAGATCAGTGGAAACAAACGCAATTTGGAAACAAAGTTTTTTATAAAGATAGGAACGTTGAGCCCCGTGTTGAAGAGAGGCAAAAGGTTTTGGTAGAAAATGAAAGGACATCAGGATGACATGAAGGAACAGTGGTTCAATGGAAAAGTCATATTTTGTTTGATTTTTAGTCTGAGGGTATTGTAAAAAAACAAGCATACCGACCAACTGAAGGATGCTCATGTACAAGCTAAGGAAATACCTATAATAATGACGGAAGATTTGGACATGAATATAATGGAAATACAACTCTTAAAAAAGAGTTTCGAAGCCCCCATTGTCATATATGAAAATATATGTGGTGATAAATAAAAAAGAAGAAAAGAGAAATCGGGAACATACTACATTTTTTTTATTAATTATTATTTTTAATTTGATATTCCTTTTGCTTTTTTTTAAATTTTGTTAGACATATTATTTTATATTTGGAAGTCGGATTTTAGTTATACCAGAGACCTGTCTGCAGGCCCGGCCCGGTTTTTTTAAAAATACCCGGGCCGGGCGGTAAAATTTATTTAAAAAATTTATACTACATGAATTATTATATTCGTCAATTAGATATGGTTATAATGATTATATATAGTTATGATTAATATAATGTTGGGCGAAAGTTAACACTAGCTAACACTCATAGTATCTATTACATAATATAATTATAGTTTTCCTGCCATGGAATAAATACGAAAAGGATAATAGGTAATAAACACATTATTATATAATATATATGTTATATTTTTTATTAAATATCAGTTTTATTTTTTTTATAAATACAATTAATATAGTATATTCTCAAAATATTATTTACACAAATTTTTTATAGTATCAATTTGTAATATACTAAATATCTGTTTAGAATTTAAAAAAAATATGTAATATCCTAGTGTTGTTAAATGGCTCGTTTTGAGGCGATTTTTAAAAACGGCTAACACAGTATTTTATCTAGAAAAACGCAAGCCTGAAAATTTTGTTCATAGATAGAGCAAAGGTCTAGACATATAGTATCGAAATTTCGAGGCTTAGTCAATATTTTTCTGGCGAAAATATTGAGTTAGCAGTTTTTAAAAATCGGCTCAAAACGAGCCCTTTAACAACATTAGCTAATATGCTTGCTTATTAAATGATAATACTCGCCGAAAAATATGATAAAATACTAAATAGGTAAATTTATTGTATATACCAGGTCGAATATAATTTTAAAAAATTCCGAGCCGGGCCTAAAAAAAATTTTTTTTTTAATCCGAGCCGGGACCAAAAAATTTATGAAAAAAATATCCGGGCCGGGCCGTGCAAATGGTACCTCTGCAGGTCTCTGAGTTATTCACAATAAAAGTGGTAATCTTATATGGACATTTTTCTTTATTTTCTTATATAATATATACATTAAATGTTGAATACATATAAGTTATCATAACAAATTCAATTTGTAGTGGGGATAACTGTAATGTATTAACTTTAAATTAATTATATTTTGGATACAATATGTAATTGATTGATTATCGTAAGTGTACTTTCGATGAATATATTGACACATTATTGTTAAAGTTAAATGTCTTTTGATCATTTCATTTTATTAAAATTATATTTTATTCTTATAAAACCTTTTTATATTTTAAACACCACATAAAACATAAATCTTGAAAATTAAAAGAAAGCTTTAATTTTATAAAAATGATCTATATCTTATTTGGAAGTAAAATGAGAAAATTAAATAATTATGTTGGCTTAGGAGTGTTGAAATTGAAATAAAATTTTACTAATTAATTTATAAATTTTATTGTAAATAAATTTTGACTTATTAAATAATGGAATATTAACTCGTTTATTTTTAATAGTTTTTTGGATACAACTCATGAAGTACAGTGCAGACAATGTGTTATAAAAGTATGTGGCCTAAGCCTTATAACTAATGTTACAAATTTTGATGGAAATTAGATATCTACAAAAGTAGGCCGACCCGGCTCGTACCCGGCCCGGGGCCTAATATTTTTTTAAGAAAATCCGGGCCAGGTCGGGTCGGGTTTTAGAAATTTTTTAAAATATATCTAAAATCAATTTTATGTTGAATTTTTTATGAAAAATAAAAATATGTGATTTCATTTATAGAAAGTAGAAGCCAAATAACATATGTATATCGTTTATTTTGAGTAATTATAAAAATTAATTTTTTTTTTTTAAAATTAATAATTTATTTCAAAAGTAGATGGCACTACACATTTTAATTTATATTATATATTGAAATAAATATCAATAATTTTAACAATTTTAAATAAATTATTGGTAAAATTTAAAAATTCTGTATATTTTCTTTATTATAATGTAATATAATGGATTAACGGTACCCTATTACAATTAACTTGTAAAAAAGGCAAACTTAAATGACTTCAAATGAATTATCTTTTTTCCTCAATATAGCCTTGAAAATCAATATGAATGCATAATTTAGCTGAATTATAAGCCGATAAATACGGTTATGACTATTTATTCATAGCAGTGATATAGCTAGCACATATCCATTTAGCCACACCAGTAGTATGTTAAAAAAAATAAATTGTTACAGTGTATACTCAAAATAAGCTTCTCCAAATTGGAAATATTTTAAAAGCGCTCAAAATAAAATAAATTGAATACCTACCAAGCTTTTGCCTCTCCCTAACGACACTGCAGATTCACATAAAAGCAATACCAAAAACATGTTATTTATTCAAAATTTAAAATAATAATAACATTTTTTAAATAAATTGTTAATTTATTGCCTAATAATATCATTAGTGAAATTTTAATGGTAAATATATCATTAATTAAATTATAAAATACAAGAACGCATTAATTTTAAATGACACCATTATAATTTAAAAATATATGTCAATTTTGATCAATTGAGATTAACTTTGAAGGTTTATTAGATTTCGGAGTAATGTAACCTATTTTATATATATCTGGCTGGTAATAATCAGATATTTTGACAAAGGCCGGTTTTATATCCATTATGTTATACAACTTTGTCATAGTTATTCTTAAGCATACAGATTTACCGATCTAAAATAAATAAAATGTTTTAAGGTTATTCTAAATAATGTTTAATATCAATAAATAGGAGTTAAACTTATTACTTGTCATTAGTTTTCCTATAAATATGATTATTCTAAGTCACTCCATTTCCTAAAAACTTAAATCTTATATCAATAAATCATCTAATTTTATATTAGTTGATTATTAATAGTTAAAGAGCTTAAAACTAAATATGGTTCCAACTTCTGAATATTATTTTTAAATATCTGCTTCTATTTTCAGTTTTTAATGTTTTTTTTTAAAAAAAAGTTCCCGTTTTTCGATTTAATTCAATTCAAATTTTTTGGGTTCTGCTTACTGATCCAAGTCATGTTAAATAAGTAATGAAGAGAAAAATTTAAACGCTAAATAAAACCTCTATAATGTATCACAAAATTTAGAAAATATACAAAAAATTAATTGTATTTTTCTTAGAATCAGTTTGGCGTTCCTAAAATATTTTTTTTTAAAAATAGGAGTTCCGATTTTTGGATTTGTACCTGCTGTTTCCTGTTTTAAAACAAACTATAAAATTTCAAATAAATTACAGAAAATTTCTTACATTATTAAAATAAAGGTCAACTTTTGTTCCACCATTTTCCAATTCAAAATATTTGAATTCAGTGAGATTAATAGCCGAAATACTTTCTCGATCGATGACATACCCACTCAAGGCATTTACCTCTAATATTGCCATATTACTTGTGCCATTTAATATGTAGCTTAAAGGTAAATATCAATTATTTAAATGAATATGTTATATTAGCAACCTTGTGCAAATATCAACGAATTTATCTATCGTCACGATATTTAAACTAAAACCAATGCCGCTTTTATTTTCTGGAATATTATACGACCAAGAAAACTGTTAGTTATGTAATAATAAAAGTTGTGATATGATAACAAACCTGAATAATAGCAGATCCTACCCCTTTAGATATAACGTTAATATTTTCTTCCATAGTTTTCAGTTGAAATGTATGGAGTACGAGAGAATTTTGTTGGTTAACACTTACTTTATACATCAGTGAGTGCATTAGAATTGAATAAAACTCTATTATCAAATCTAGCTTTGTGTTTAAGTTGAGAATTTTTGCAAATTCTGTAATAGCTGACAATGCAGCTATTGTATCCTTTTAGTGTAAAAGTAGATTACAAAACCGATAAGTAATTGTCCAAAAATATTCTTAAATACCTGTGTTGAAGAGTAACCACCTATTGAATTTCTTTGTGATAAAAGCCATTTTAAAACAGGTATTCCTTCTTCGATATTCTTATTGAGAGCTAAGGTCAGAAGCACGTAACTCGTCTGTTCAAAATCCAATGATATTGGAATGTATTCACATATCTTGTTATCACTTTCACACGATTTTAATTTGTCAGTATTAATCCAATACGTCATCTCCTCTGTAAATAAAAATAATTCATGTTAGTCATCAGTTGTTGATAACATACTTTCTCTCATCTCGAGACCCTTTAATTGTTTTAAGGATTTTTGCGCAATTTCTTTATTGTTCTTGGAAAGATATAGCGCATAACATAAAATCGCTAAATCATAGGTATTTATGGTCTCAATAGAATCTTTAATCATTCTTACCATGTATGTTTCTGCTTTGGATAAAATATTTTTTATATCGACACCAAGCTTAGTATCATATATATTGTAGGCTTCTTTAATAGCTATGTACACAAAAGCTGTTAAGGCAATATTTCCTGATGTTCCACCCTAAGAATATTAAATTTATAAAATAAAATATCATGCTAAATTTATCTTTGAATAATATTATTCATTTTTTTAGATATCAACAAAGTTCTTAAATCAAATTGCATTTCCTTGTTAGCATTTATATCAAATAACCTGCATAGCCTTATGAATAACAGTTCCTGTTTCTTTGAAAGAACCATCATCCAATTGATTTGATGACAAAAACTTTAAGATTTTGTGAAATATAGCTTGCTCGATATATATAATGTCGATAGATTTAGCTTGTACAAAACTTTTTAACACAAAAGCCGATAACCACACACTTCCCTTCGGATCTGAATTTCCAAATGCACTAAAAGATCCATCGTTTCTCTGATAACTCAATTGCTGCTGATAACCCGCCTTAGTATATTTTACAATTTTATCCTGAGTCTCGGATGTCAACAATTGTTTTGTTTTAAGATAAATATATATGTATATATTGGGAGCAAAGTTTAGCATATTTTGTTCCCCGCAACCACTAGGTAAACGAATTAAGTTACCAATATTTGTTAAAGACGGTCCAATGATATCACCTTTAATAATTATACCAATGTAAAATTATAGTATATTCTTTTAACCTATTACAGATATTTCCATCAATTGTGATCCCGGTATCATATTACTTTTATCCCATTGAAAAGAAAATTTTTTGTCTAAAGCGGGTAAAGAATTTAAAACCAAATATGGTTTATTAAAATAAAGAGTTTGACCCTCCGCCTGAATTATATCATAAGATATAAAAAAAATCATACAAATAATGCTAATTTTAAAGAAAGTAAAATATTTATTATACCTTAACTAATAAATATTTTCGTATCGTATCGCTTAATGTTTTAGTAGCGGCGTTAACTTTTATTTCTATGTTACCAACTTTCAAAGGACGTATCTCGAAATATACACTGATTCCAGATTTTTTTTTGACTGACACTGTTTGCAATTCTTTGTGTACACCATCAATGAGAGCAAAACTTTTATCATTAATTAAACTCACATTTGCCTTTATAGTTATAAATTGTTATATTCTATTACTTTTTAATATTTTTATATAATATTAAATTTTTCATAAGGTTATTAAAATTCATTTCTTTAATTCAACTAAAATATTCTAAACTCCTTTTAAATTTATGTAACTTTGTATATAAGAAATTTTAAAATCTCTAAAATTTAATTTTTTTATTACTATAAGATCTGTATTATGATAGTTATACACTACGACATTTAGTTTAAGTGTTTCACCACGGATAACGCTGTAAGGGAGATTGACTGAGACGAAAAATTTTAATGCCACACGTATCTACAATAAAATTACAATGTAAAGTATTCAATGATACACATACGTTAAATGCATTTTCTGTAATTGCTAAACCTTTTTGGTTGTTTAGTGAAAAGGCCGTCGCAATCCAAGTTGTCATAGTGTCCGGAATTTTGAATGAAACCTTTATCGATGAAGAACTTTATCAAAACGAATTAATAAGTAAATTAAATAAGATACTTCTTTCTTTCTTCCTTTCTTTCTTTCCTTCCTTCCTTCCTTCCTTCCTTCCTTCCTTCCTTCCTTCCTTCCTTCCTTCCTTCCTTCCTTCCTTCCTTCCTTCCTTCCTTCCTTCCTTCCTTCCTTCCTTCCTTCCTTCCTTCCTTCCTTCCTTCCTTCCTTCCTTCCTTCCTTCCTTCCTTCCTTCCTTCCTTCCTTCCTTCCTTCCTTCCTTCCTTCCTTCCTTCCTTCCTTCCTTCCTTCCTTCCTTCCTTCCTTCCTTCCTTCCTTCCTTCTTTCCTTCCTTCCTTCCTTCCAAAATAAATTTAAAATTAATCACGTAGTGTTGAAATCAGACCAAATCCAGGTTTCAGGAAAATATTTCCTGATTTTCACCAAATTTAATGTCGAACTACCCATTTCATCGTTATTTCCAGCCATATTCATAGAGGGCATGACAAAATTTTCCATGTGACCCCCAAAAGATGCCTTGCTTAATCCTTAGAGAAATATTAACCACAAAAAAGTCACGTTTAAATTTTATAAATTTTCAATGTTAACTTAATTTTTCTTATACAAATAATATATTTTATTTATTCTCTATGCGACATTGCCAAAAATTTAATTATTAATAAATTAATAATGATAATATATAATTACTGAGAGAATTTATATTCGGAATTGCACTCATTTTAAACGACAATATATCGGTAAAGGTTATCAATCCCGCTTGCTTTAAAAATATATAAGATTTATGATGATCATGATATATAATCTAGCCATTTACATTATAAGATATTTTAATATTAGGCACACAACTAACATGATATTATAATTTATAAAAATAAATTTATTTAGATAACCTATATTGAGAGATCTATTATGGTATAGATCTGACTATCTTATGTTTTTATTTTAATATATTCTCGGTTTATGGTTTTAGTGTTCCATATATTCATTTTTCAAGTTTTACAGGGGACATTATTAAAAATTTACTTATCGTATTTTCAATAGCGAAAGATATCACTTGCAGAAATGTTCAGGACAAAAAGACACCGGACAAAAATATTCCAATTTTAAAAAAATTTAAATGCTTAAAAGGAGATCATTTTTAATATTAATCTTATTAATAATAATTGTGGTATCTTTGTCAGGTATCTTTTTATCGGTAGATAATTTTGTCCGGGGTATTTTATCAAGGTTTCTTTGTCCAGAACATTTCTGTCCTTGATTCTATGGAAAAACACTAAAAATTTTTATTATGCTCTAAGTGACAGGTAATCAACTTATCATAGACTAACTTGTTATATATTTTTAAATGTAATATGTTAAATACAACCACCAGAATTATAAAAGAATCTAGGACTGTCATTATATCTAAAAAATTACATGAACATGGAACATTATAATAATATAAAAATAAACTAAAACCAAATGGAAAATATAGATTAAAAAATGTCATTTTTTTGAAATGAATCACATGATTTTATCTTCTATATTCTAGATAGGTATAAAACTTTGAAATACAATAATAGTTTGAAAATTAACTCATTGGATAAAAATAATGTAAATTTTAAAAGAAGTTGCGCTTAAATTTTTACTGTTCATATTTTACTAGTTGATAGCCCGTTAAGAATGACGGGAATTAATGTTCTTAAATATTGGATATTAAACTTGGACCTTATAGTAAAATTTAGTAGAAAAAGAGGTAAATTTGTAAATCATACCTCATAAAATATTCGTAATTTCTGATTTAAATATTGGGAAAAATATTAATACCCGCCTTTCTCGAAGGGCATAATTATAACTAATAACACCAGAGCTCCCGTTAGTCAGCATTGCTGTTCGTTCCCCACCGCGTGAAGGTGGGAGATGGGTTTTAGGGGAGCAAAGAATGAATAAAAGAAGGTAGAAATATAGGAAAAAGAGACAAAAATATGAAAAATAATAATTTACAACCATATACTATAAGCGCGGAATTAACACCGCGTGTCGGTATCGGTTCTAAATCGCTAAACGATAAATAGCCAAAAAAAGGGATGTTCCCGATTTTGTTACCAGTAAAAATCCTATTAATGTTTTATTTAAAAAATGAAGATCCAAACCGTAGCAAAAAACATAAATAAATTACTTAAGTATAAGAAAATTAAGTATTACTAAATTTGTAGTGTCTGTTTAATAATATAATTTGTAAGATATAAATTTGTATTAAGTATTTAAATATAACGATGTTTTATTGCCATTTAAAATATTTATTAAATTTCTAAAATGCTTTCTTAAAATTTCACATATAGATATGTAATATATTCGTATATTAAGTATTTAATATAACTATTGAAGAAATTTTTTATTGCCATTTAAAATACTTAATAAATTTGTAAAACGTTTTCTTAATAATTTAATAGAGCTTAATAATCCAATGAAAAAAAATAAATATTGATTAAATTTAGTTAATTTTAAAAAATCAAATATAAATAAAGATTTTTATAACAAAATATAAAGCTTAAAGGGGCTGAACGGTAAGAACGTTTGCCTTACGGGAAGAACGTTTGCTTTTGAAATTAAGGCGCGAGTTCGAACCCCTAGAGATAATAAAAGCCTTCGATTTATTTAACATTAATAAAGAAAAAATAAAAATTAACGTTATAAAGATAGGAAAACGTTCATTTCTTGAATACGGCTATTATATATATAGATATGCAAACTAATTAATTGATTGATTGAAATAAAACACTATAATCTTCATTCGAGATATTCATATTAGTGATCTGCGGGCCTAATTTTTCAAGCCCAGCCCGGCCCGAAATTTTTTTAAAAAGTTTTGCCGGCCCGTTAAAAAATTTACCGACCCAGCCCGGCCCGAATTTATTTAAATATAGAAATTAAATTTTATAATTACTCAAAATAAAAGACATATGTTATATGTCGTTTAGTTTCAATAAATAAAATCAAATATTTTTATTTTAAATAAAAAATTCAATATAAAATTGATAAATTTAGATATATAAAAATTTCCAAGGTCCGACCCGGCCCAAAATTTTTTTTAAAATATTAGGCTCGGCCCGAACCTAATTATTTTAAATAGAATTAGGCCCGAGTCCGGCCCGGCCCAAAGCCCGTTCCGACCGGACCCGGTACGGGCCGGACTTAACTTTGCAGATCTCTAATTCATATGCTAATAAAAAGAAACCTGAAATATGTAATAGGAATTTGTTATCCGATTATAGTAGATGGGCATATACCTCATCGCGCCAGCAATACGTTGCTTATCATTAATTTTTATTTGGTCTTCTATTCTATTTGATTTTGAAATATGTGCGGGATCAAGCGCCTCCTCTATTGGCCTTCTAAAAGGAACACTACTATATGGGAAGCCATTATAGCTATAAGAATTTATTTCTTGAACTATCCTTTGTTGGGTCAAATCATTGTTTTCGGCCAAAAGAAAAACGCTTTTATCTATAGCTGAAAGGCAGACTATTGAATTAGGTGTAGTTGTCACGTAAATATTTAACATTGAGTCTGGACTTCTCTCTACAGTTATATTTTTTAGGATTTTGGTTTTTTCTGGTTTGTCCGATAAGATTATCTTTTATTTGTAAAGGATATAAGAAACGTTTAATTCTATTAAGGTCAGGGTTGGAAAAGCATTGACCGGTCGAATATGATTAAAATCCTGATATGATATTTTTGTGATTGAATATACCACATGATTATTGTCATGCTGATGGAATAAAATAACATCATTAAAAATTTATACTATGTACCCTGCCTTAATAAAGATACCTTAACAAATCTGACCTCTAATCTTAAAAAAAATAGTAGATGGGAACCTCCTACTCAACTAAGGTGACAATATTTGGACATGTATATCCCACATTTTTATTCTATTATGACAAACTCTGGCCAATCAATTAAAAAGAAAGAAAACAATATATTAAAAATGTTTTGCAAATAAGATAAACCAAACCAAAAATTAAAACATTTTATAAAATGTCGCAACAAACTTCAAATTTGAAAGAGCTCTAAAAGCATTCGTCGTTGATGAAATTATTTATAGTAAATACCCAAGAGAAATAATAATTTACTTTGATCCAGGTAAAAAATAGATAATATTCATAATAGTATATTATTTAATCGTGCTATGGTTCCAATATCTTCCCACAAGTAAAATTATACTTGGAAAATTTTTTTAAAAATCTCAATACCTACAACTACCCATCCTACTTAAATGAATAATCAATTTGATAAAACTTGTGATATAATAAAGGAACTGATAAGCAAAATATGTGGGGTGTAGTAGAATTTATAAACATTAATGTATCGTGTTAAGTAGGTGGAAAGGACTTTGCCCACCTTGCCATTTAAAGGATGTGGATATTCAGTATAAGGTGATATTAATACAAAATACCTAAATCAATTTGAAACTTTATAGGAAAATTGGTTAGAATTTATGATTAATTAAAGATATAAGAAAATTATACTAATTCAGTTAAGTGCTTGCCCGAGGCATGGCCCTACGGGTATTTGTAAGAGGCCGCAAGAAAAATTGCCATATTTATGGTGATAAAATAATTAGAAGAAAAAGTATTTTTTTTAAATGTTTTTTAAAATTTTATATTTTTTGAGTTATACCTGCGCCGAAAAAAACTTTTCAGAACGCAGACTAATCAAAACTAATTTAAGATCGATTACGACACAAAAAAAGTTTACTGATTGTTATCAATAGAGAATGACATTGCAAAAAATTCGAATGTTGAAATTTAATAGAAAATTTTGCAAATAAAAGCCAGTATGAAAAAATCTTTTACATATATATTTGATTTTAAATATGAAATTACTATATTGTTGGTTTTTTATAAAAAAAAGATAAGTCGTTCTTTAAATTTATAATCTCTTGATGTGTCCAAAAACCTGATATTTCATAGAAAAGTTTGAAAAAATGAATGAAAAATATAACTCCCACGTTTCTCTTCTTTTCTTCCCACGATAAATAAAATTGAAAACAAATTTTACTATAAAAAGGCATAAAATTGTTAAATGTGATAATATAATTTATTCTTAAGTCAATGTACTAGTTTTACATTTTTAATCGTTTACATACCTGCTACAGAGCATTGGTACGACACTCATTTTTAACCAGCACCATGAACGCTACGAAATAAATTATTCAATTCAACCCTCTAAGGCCGTCCTCAAATTAAGCGATTTTTAAAATAATTAGTAAATATTACTGAATTAAACACAGAATAATCAATTCTGGAAATTCAGAATAATATATAAAACAAATTACCCCTTTATTAATTTTGCTATTTTTAAAAAAAATCATCAAAGATCAATATCTAAATATTCTTATGTTGATATTCCTATTGTTTAAAATAAATTTTAATAAAATATAATTAAGTTAATTAATGTTTTTAACAGTACGTTTTTATATATAATTTCAGTACCAAGCATACCGATGTTAATAGGCCGGTACCTGGAGGTCTTTGGATATAAAAAAGACTAAGTAATGATGATGTTGTACCCAAAAACATATATATTTTTTTAATATTGTAAGAAAACCTTATTTTCTGAGAAATCTTGAATAATTAGATCAATCGAGTCTGCAGCAATCGCCTTAGATTTTGTGATGATATATCCTAATAGTTTTGAATAAGGGCACATTTCATGTTTTATCTTCAGTATTATTTGGTTATTTAAACCGATCTTGTCTAGGTTTATTATTTCGACAATGTTGCCTCTTGATAATACTAACAAAATAATTCGATCATAGTTTATTGAAGTGGTTAAAATATTGACTTTTACTGCATCTCCTATCTAGTTGTTATATTATAATAAGTTGTATATATAAAATTTTTGATGTTTAAAATAATAAACTTTTTAATAATATAGTAATTTGGATTAAGAGAGATATGAATATGATTTAATTTATAAATTTATCAAAATTAATTTTCGCTATTTTGAGATAAGAAAAAACCCCGATTTAATGTTCCCTTTAACTTTTTCTCACTTTTACTGTTTAAATTTCTGGTCCTATAAGTCTTAGGCTGAGAGTATACTAGAGCTTTCGAGGGCATAATCTTAAAAGATAAAATGGCATATTCAAAATTTTAGATAATTTTGAGTATTTGTACCATTAAAAGTTATTGTAACAATTCTATATTTTAAAGTTTAGCATTATATAAAGTAATATTTATAAGCTTTTAGCTAATGGATAGAAACATAGCAATTATTTTATAAACCATTCTCTTAAGGCAAAACATTATTCTTTATAATGCTCTAGTATGGTCTTAGATTTATATAATTAAAATATAGTATTAGTTTAAAATTTCAAATTTATGTTTCCTTAAGTCGGGGTTTTAATTTATTTAAAAAACTAAAAGGTCCTTAGAGACCTTCTTGAATAAATTTCTTACACTCCGTTATAAACGGTCAGAAAAGCAATAAAGTTAAAAGACAGGAAGTCAAAGACGCAACAGTTCTTCCTATCTTTTAAAATCGTAATTTTGACCGTTTAAACGCAACAAAAGATAAGTATGCTACTGGTTTCTCTTGTGAATATAGAATAACATCATTCAAACTTTTATCGGTTTCTCCTCTATTTTCAGTATCATGTATATATTGGAGGGTTCGTGGAAAGCTGTAATAACGTAGGAAAACACTTTATTAGTGTTCTTGAATCTTGCCTAAATAATTTTTCTTAAATATTTTATAAATTATACTATACATACATTTATGGATATAGATGCAATATCATTGTTATCATTAGTTTCATTGATGAGTATATTTTTCACACCGTTAAGAGGTATTTTTATGGAAAAGGAATCGTTCTTAGATGGTGTATTCTTTACATATGCGTTATAGTAATATGCGCTATTATAATTGATTATTTTAAATAGCTCTATCTCTTTTGGGTCATTGTTTGTCAATGGCTTTTCATCTAGTCTACTAACAGTAACCTTTTGTTTTTTTTAGTATTAGTGTTGATATAATGTAAAAGTTAATATAATAATAATTCAGTATATTCTATAATGGGCCTATCGAATATGAATCGAATAATAAAATATTCTTATTCGATGCTTTTGAACCAATTAAATAATTTAATATTCGTAATTATACCAATCGATCAAAAATAGTATATTTTACTATTCTCGCGAATAGCAATTATTCAAATTGTTTAAATAAATGGAATACAAATAATTCAATATTCAATTCATATTCGTTTTTGAATAGATCTACTCTATAATAGAGCTGATATGAAGATATAATCTATATAAGAGACATACACAGTAGAGGTGGGCGCGGGCCGTGAAATTACGCGTGACCCATCGTGTCACGGTGGGTCACGGCGTGAGTGTGAATAAATTTTAAATTCCAAGGCGTGATTGGGCGTGACGGGCCTTCCCAAAATGTTCCCCGGGCGTGATCGGGCGTGAACATAAATTTCCCGTGAATCACGGAAATTTTAATTTTTAAAATTGTTTTTTTATAAATATAAATTTGCAATTTTATAATTATAAATTTGCAATTTTTTAATATGATACATTTTCTTATTTAATTTAGTTCTTTTCTAAAAAAGAATAATTTATGAAAACTAAAAATCTTCTGCATTTTATAAACAACATCCAGTATCATTTTGTTAGTCCTATTTTCTTTTTATGTTTAGGTGTTTTTTATCACGAGACTTTATGCTAAATTTTGCTTAAACTTTTTACAAAAAAGTCAGTTATATTTTATTAGTAAAAATCTTCAATCTTTAAATGCAACAGAAAGTGAAGGATTTTAAAGATAGCCCAAGAGATAAATGTTGGTGTTACATATGGATAACAAAATATAAAAGTTGTAAACCGGAAAACTCTCATGAATATTATAGGTCCAAAAATATACCATAAAATAAAATTTAAGATTAATAGCATGATCAATAATAATTACTTGTCCATAATCACTGATATTTGACGGATGACTATAAAAATCTAATTTTTTTAACCATTACAGGACATATTATCATTAAGGATTTTAAATTAAATACATTTGTTTTGGCCACAAGGGCAATGGATGAAAAAAAAGTCAAAATTAAAAGTGTAGTCAATTCAATTTTAGGACAGAAGTAGAAAATTACTTAAATAAATGTATAGTTGTGAGTGATAACGGAGCAAATCTTATAAGTGCATTCAAAGATGACGAAACGCTAGCATGTATATGCCATATACTAAATAATATTATGCATTATATTTTTGACAATTGTTTAACTGAAATAACCTTATAATAAATGGTGTAAAAAAAATAGTACAATATTTCAAAAAATCTACAGCTAATATAAAACTAAGCCACACCCTTAAACAAGATGTGATAGCGAGAATAACGAGATGGAACTCTGTATATATCATGATACAGAGTTTCTTAAAATCATATTCTGAAATACAGGTGTACTTGTTTAGCAAGCAAAAATTAAATAGATTAGCCACAATTGATATCAGTACCATACGCGAGTTAGATAAATTTTTACCAATATTTAAAGAATGCTCGGATAATCTGAGAGCAGATTCTCGTCCCACAATAAATAAAGTTTTTCAATGGAAACAAAAAATACAGAACAAGATTTCTTTTAAAAAATTATTATGTAGCCACTACATAAGGTAGGCTTAATTCTAGATCCGAATTTCAAAAGACTTAAGTTTTTAATAGAAGAAGAAAATGATATATATAAAACAATCATAAAAATGCTAAATGATATAAAATTAGATGATATGCATAAGTCGATGACAACTATCATTTATAACTTTCCTAACTTATCCTAAACTCATAAAAAACCGTATATTCTAAATGGTCAAACCAACTATCACTTTCCTAATTCATCCTACACTCATAGAAGACCGTATTTTCTTAAAAAAATTTAGAGAATTTCTAGATGATTCTGATGAAGCATCAACATTAACGATAAAAGCTCTGAGGATGAACTTAAAAGATTCAAGATAAATAACGACAATATTTTGAAGTTTTGGAGGCAGGAATATTCATTTCCTTTTTTGAGAAAATTATCGAGTAAAATTTGGTCAGCTGCAAGTTCGGCTTCTAGTGAAAAGTTATTTTCTGTAGTCAATCTCTTATTAGAGGAAAGGCGTACACAATTGAAATAAAAAAAGATGGACATTCTTCTTTTTCTAAATAAATTTCGATTTATAGATTATATTTTTTTTTTGTTATTAATATGGATTATGAAATTAGAGAAATAATAGAATGAATTCAAAAAAGTGTAAAATTATAGCAATAGTTTGAAAAATTTAAAAACACCGTGAAGTTTCGGGCGTGACGCAAAATATTGCTTGTCGTGAGTGGGCAGGTCGGGTCGAAAATTTTTTAATGGTAAGCGTGAATGGGCGTGAATTTTTTTTATAGCCATCGTGAGCGGGCGGGTCGTGAATGAAAAATTAGTCCCGCTCCCACCTCTAATACACAGGTCAAAATTTAGGCCCAGTCTGCTTCCCAATCTGAAAAAAATATTTTATTTTCAAACCCAGCTCTGATTTTTTTTTTAATTTCTAGCCCTTGTGCGGGATTTTCAAAATTTTGTTATTTTAAATAATCTTGATTGTGATTTGCTAATTTTTTCAACAGGAAATTGAAATTATGAACATTAAATGAATATTAAACGCTTTCCTACATTTCCAATTGATTGATAATATAATGGAAAATATTTTGAAATCTATCCCGGCACGAATTTTTAATTCTTTAAGCCCAGACAAGTCCGGAGTTGTAATTTTTTTTAACTGATATAAACATTTTAGCGAATAACGCAGATCAATAAAACTTATAAATTATAAGATTAAATTATTATTTCATCATTATTGATAATTATTATCTTCATATGGTTCTCCATTTATATTTTTCCTAGGAATCTTTGATACTAGAGCCACATATATATTAATATAATATATTCTTCCTAATTTTTCATGGATATAAAGATAAACGATACTACAAAAAAGAAACACGTTACCTTTACTCGTTTCGTCTGAAAAAAGAAACACGTTACCGTTACTTGTTACCTTTTTGGAACTTGCGTTACTGACTATTCAAAAAAGTAACGGGTTACTGGTTACTTAAAAATTAAATATTATATATAAAAAAAAATATTTTAATATAAATAAAAATATAAAAATAATAAATAAGGTAAGATCTTTTGATAAATAAAATTTTCATATATATGATTATAATATCAAACAAAAGTAACATAATAAGAATTTTTAGGCAATCATTAATAGCCAATTGTAGAGTATGAGCTGCACATCTAATGCAAATTATATTTATGGGGAATCTATTAATAAATTTACATAATAAATTACTATTACCTACTCTAGAAAATTTATGATATCAATCTCTAAATAAAATGGTAGTCCAGGAATAAAGTTGAAAAAAAAAACGCGAAGTAAAAATAAATGATTCCACAAAAAAAAGTTAATAAAATTGAAAAAATTTTATATTAAAAATTTTTTTTATGATACCTAGAACCCTTGGACCCTCCACTTAAAAAGGGTCTAGGTTCGGGTTCTGGTACAGCCAAAATACGAGGGTTTGGGAGGGTTCAGGGTCCGGGTTCACATCTGTTTTATAATACCTATGATTTAATATTCTAATATTAAAGTAATGTTTAAAATAATAAATTAATTCCTATGATTTAATATTCTAATATTAAAGTAATGTTTAAAATAATAAATTAATTCATCTTTTTACCTTCATATGCTTTTTTAATTTTAAACTGCTGAACATTGAGGTTGAAATATTTGCTTTGGGACATAATTTATATTTACAAAGTGTAGACTTTATACCCTTATTTTTCTTTATTAGTGTAAAATATGTTTTTAGTAGAGCCAGGGAAGGGTTAAATCATCTTGATCTATAGAATAAGTACTATGGATCTTGATATATAAAATAGAATAATAATATTATTATTAACATTTACTTTGAATTTTGATTGAATATTAACTAGATTAACATTCGACGGAAAATTTAATAACGAGTATTTAAAATAAAAATGAAGGAATGGTAGTTGATATGAATTAAAAAAACTGGGCTTAAATTATTTACATTAAAAAATAAATAAAGGTATTTATATAGTTCAATAAAATAGGTTTTTCTTTTTTTAATATTTTTTAAGAAAAAAAAAATTAAAGTAACGAGTAACGTTTTGTTTTACCGTTAATCAAAAAAAAAGAAACGCGTTACCCCGTTACTCGTTACCGCTAAAAGAAGGTAACAAATGGCGTTCCTTTTCTTCAAAAAAAGTAACGACATTAGTAACGACGTTACTTTTGACGTTACTTTACAGCACTAAAAGATATAAGCAAAAATCATGGTTTTATCTAATAATTTATACGTAATATTTTAAAAATTGTCATATTTACCGTAATAATTTGTTCATGTAAAATTTTTTTACCTTTGCTCAATCTGTTTTAATATTTTAAAAATTTTAATTAAGTGGGTGGTGGGAAAATCAAAAGTCTTTATATTTCATAATATTATTTATTGTTTGTTAACTAAAAAATTCGGTAAGTAAGATAACCAGAGATTTTAATACAAATCATTTAATAGTTAAAGATATTTCGGAAAAACATATTGAAGATAATTTAAACACTATAAATATTTCTGAAGGAGAATAGCCCATGCCAGTATAAAATATTATGACTTGATAATCGATGTTTTTTCTTCAGAAATATTATCTGGATGGATTTCTGTTTTCAAATATTTTTTTTTAAACTCTATACTCGACATAATAAATGATGAGTAAAAAAATCTCAGATTACATAAATTAATTCTTTCCAACAAACTTTATAAATTTACACTCATGTATTATATAGTGTATGCTAAATATTGTTTTAATTACTCGTTCATATTCTAAAATTGTTATGATAGGAAAAATAATAATTTTTCTAAAGCCATCATAAATATTATTCAATTTTTACTACCTTTCTTTTTTTTGTTAGTTTTCACCATATATTATTAAGTTTTTATGCTTTCGTTTTAGATTTTTGAAAAAGATTTATTAAATTAAACTTATTTTTCTAGAAAATTATTGTTTATAATTATACTTATTTATTCGTTGCTGGAAGAGAGGAGATTGGTGAGGGAAGGTTCGCTTATTATTATTATTTATAAAACTTTCCAATTTTTAATGGGAGGGAATTCCCCCCCCCCCCTCTTTCACCATCTTAGGAGTTTAGATATTTAGTTAGTATATTCCTCTCGATTGGATAGGTGACCCTTATTGAAAATGTCTGGTACAGGCTTTGAGATTATTGTTTTAATGCAAAATTTGACAATTTATAGGATAACATTTATACTAATATATGATTTAGTGAATACAAAATATTGTGTACTTTCAAGTGGTAGGGTAACCCGCTTTTATAATAAGGCGATCCCGAAAAGGTTATTTGATATGGAAATGTATAAATATTAATTATTTGAGATGTCATTCTTCGCATCTGAGTCAGATTATCTACGAATTCCAAGCTCAAGTTGAAAGGTCTACCATATTCAAAATTCGAATGATCGCTAAAAAAGAATGTTTGATTAATATTTTTAAAAAAAAAAAATGTTCCTATTTAAATTTACATGAAATTTTCTCCTTTAAATTCTAAACTAAGCTCGAAAGTTGTGATTCCATTGTTAGAATTTAACGTAATGACCCTCTCGGGATAATTTGTTTTTTGATGAAAGTTATCGTAATTGCCATATAAGTCTTTCAATGATATAGTAGCTTGGCCCAGCACATTACCCCCATATGTATATCTATGTTAATAAATCAATGATTTGATTTAAGATGATATTTGAAAAAAGCTATAAATTGTGAAATACAGAAAATTTTTGTCACTTGAACTGTTATTTTTATATGAATCCAACCCTGCATCATATTCATTATGGTTCAGATTCATGCTTTAAAATATAGTTAAACTTGCAAATTTATAAATATGATTCTTTGCAGTATTCTAAATCATAAACTTATACAAATAATTTAAACATAAAAAAAATAAGAATATTTATATTAATGGTTATGATTATTAATTTTAAAAAAAATGAAATAATGATGACTTTTTTTAAAAAAAATAAAATTTAATTTATTAAAGCGTATTAATTAATATAATTTAAATTCAGTATTCACATCTTTTAATATAAAAAAAATATTATGAAAAGTGAGTGTTATTAGAAAAGGATTAAAATAAATTCGAGTTCAAAGTCTTTAAAAAAGAAACATTATGATTTTTAATATAATATACAAATAATAATATTTAATAAATATTTTTTTAAATGTATTTAATATAAACCACTAATTTCATTTTTAATATTTCTTTATGACAAAAATTCTTTTGAAAATTGAGTAAATTCATCTTGATATGGAAAATAATAAATTGAAAAAAAATTAACTTGGCCTCAAAAGATCCCTTTACAACGATTTTATTATCCTTCAGAGTTTCATAGGTCGGCACATTAAGAATAACATCATACAATGGTAATATATATTCCTCAACATTAAGAATTTTGGATTCTGATATTTTTCCTATATCACACCGTAATGTCCATAATCCTTGAGTAGTTTTTTCCGTTAGCTGAAAGGATCCAGTGAATAAACCTAACCAAGGGCAAAATTGTATATTAAAATAATCCAGTTTTGATTTATGAATAATATAATGTTTTATTATGTTTCTGATACCTTTAGTATTTACTAATTTTAAAATTATATAATGTAGCAAAATATATAACAATATTTATGAAATTTAAGAATTAAAGATTATAAATAAATTTTAGTAATTTTTTATAGTATATATTTATAAAAACGCACTATCTCTATCGCTATTTATATAAAGTAGTGTGCTATTATCTATGCTACAAAGTAGCATAAGGTAAACATTTTTAAAATTACCCCATTTTAGCATTCAAACAAATTTCTAAAATTGAAATATTTTTAGTCAACGGGAATTTTTCTCGAGTGTCTTTATACCCCTGTTTTGTCCGGGTCGGTCCATAACATTTTTATTTTCGTGATTCCATTAAATATTAAAATGATTGCACCAAAAATTATACTACAATGTGATATTTATTTACTGAAAAAAACTTACAATTTTTCAAAAAATTTAGGCTTAATAAATTTATTTTTTCTTTTAACATTTTTTTTAAAATTGATGTCTAAAAATAAGTTTCCTAACACTAAACCCTATCTACAGGAACGCTAGATGTAAATGAGACATTCTAATTAATAAACAGTAATTATAAATTTGGAAAATTATTTGTAAAGATAATAATTGATATTTATTTATATTGTTTATTTTCCTTCAATTCCAATTTTAAAAGTAACTAATATTTTTTGCAAAAATGAGTTAGTTACACTACATTACTTTAACAACACTACATAATATTGTAAACCTTTATATAGGTTTCTGCCCATCCATTGCATTAGGCGATTGTTTTTGGGATCCAAAATCACTACATCAATTTTTCTGTCAACTGGTTTTAATTTAGAATCGACCACAATCATTCTGAAATTAACTTTTAGGTAAAAAAAAACAATATTTATATTATTAGCTAAAAGAATTAAAGTTAAATTATCAATTCCCTGAAAATAAAACATTCAAGTCACATAGAACTAAATATAGAATACAAACCCAATTTTAGTTAAAAAAATATACCCCCCCCCCCCTCCCTTAATAGAAAAAAATTAGTTATGCCTATATTAAAAACTTTTATCTGAAGGTTTATAGATATTTTTGTCAGTTTGTATAAAAATAGATATTTCTTTTCTATTAAATCCAATGTTGATCTCCTCCTTTAAAGATTGTATATCTGGAGACATTACCGATAACAAATAACTACCCTCTTTCAACATTGTAGGAATCTGTAAATATTTATATAAATGTCAACTTTATAAAATATTAAGACAATATTCAATTCATAATCTTAAATTTAATTAGAAATTTAAAAATATTAGGGATGGAAAGATGTGTGGATAGTAAACCCCCTAAATCAAAAATATAATCAATTTGACAGATTTTATTGAATAAAAGAACTCCATAAAAAATTTGAAAATTAATAAATAATATTTTAGCCCAATAAAATATCTTCGTAAATAAAATTAAGATGATACATTCCTGAATAAGAAAATAATTGGAAGATATTATTTAAAAACCTGTATTGATAATTCCTTAGATTTCCCGGGCGGAAAATCGCCAAAATTTTTGGCAATAATTTCTATAGGCGTAACATCATCTTTGATTATTTTCGCTTCAATTCTTACTAAAGCTTTGATATTTGCCAATATATTGATGGATAATTTATATAATTCTCCGGATCGTATATTATTCGGTGCATTGATAAAATATGTACTAAAGCAAATAAAAATTATATTGTAATTTTTTTTTATAACTTATTGCAATATATTATCGATAATTCAAATCCGAGTATAGAGGTTATCAAAAATAACAGCATTGTGTGTTAAAAGTATAAATATGAAAGAAATATATTTATAGAACTATTGTTTTCGAAATTAATTATAAAACATTTGAGAAAACACTTTAGCATTTTATAGTCAACATAAAGATTTGTATATAACTTGAGCTAATATTTTTCTCGAAAAAGCCTTGATTTGCAATAATTTTTCATCTAATTTTAGCATTGGCTCATATAAAATACTTAAGGTTCTTTTTTTAGTAATTCAAATTAAAGAAACTACGAAAGTCAATTTTTTAATTACTTCGTATCATCCCCCCTCGTTTGCTTTATTCTCCAAACTTAAAATATGGATGGATTATGGCAACATAAATTTATCCAGTGTCTACATGGCCGGGGTGGGTAGGAGACAAATGCCTACCAAATATATTAGAATTTTTGGGGGTAGGTATTAATTTTGGGGGTTGATATTAATTTTTGGGGGTAGGCATTAATTTTTTGGGGGTAAGTATTTATTTTTGAGGGGTAGTCTATCACTTGATTCATATTCTTTTTGAATCCCATAACTTATAGATATGATGTTGTTGATCTTATTCTGACAAATGAATTAAAAAGTGATCTGTTTATTAACAAATAATAAAAATCAATAAATTTTTTCTTTCTGAATTTTAAGCCTCTTTATTTATTTATTTAGCAATCTCACACGAAAATATTAATATTATGCTTATTTGATAATTTTCTAAAAGTATAGAGGTTAATAATATATATTATATTTTAAATAATAAAATTCAGTTCCTATATATCAATCAGTTAAGGATATAATAAATCATTTAAAATTTTAACAAAATACTTTAAATATTATTATTAAAAATAAGATTTTCATTAGGTAAACAAATTTTAACTATATTCTTTATTTAATAATTAGCAAACATCTAAATTTCAGATTATATTTTCTTCTCATTTAATGATCAATCCCAGTGGAGAGACCCAAGCATCTCTTCCTTCAATTTTTTTAAAATATTTTTTACGCATCTCTTTTTTTACAAATAAAAAATATGACTAAAATTTAAAATATATATATAATATTTTTTATAGCATGTCAAAAATAATCATTTCCATACTGTCATCTTACCTAGAGCGCGTCGATCAGAAAGTATAATCTATAATCAAATAATCGTTCAATAGAACTTGAGAACAATGCAATATTAAATTTAATATATATTTTTTATATAGAAAAATCATCAAAAATTTTCATTTGATTATTTTTAGATTTATAATAATAAAAGATTTTAAATATTACTATTTATTCCAAAAAAATCATCTCTTTTTTGATGTGTCTAAAATTACAATAGTAATAGTTAAAATAAAAATTATGTAGGGGATAAGTGGCATAAATGGCCATCCTTGCTGACTGGCTAGGTCAACATCCTTTAACTTTTTATCTATTTCACTAAAATTGTTTAAAATCTGAAAATACTTAATTCAATAAGTATTTTTTAGCATGTTTTTATAAAATTTATTAATAGATGTGGTTAATTTTAAACACGTTTAACATCCAGGTAATAATTTATAAAATATTGAGTCTGATGATAAAATGAAAATTTAATATTAATTATTTATTGTAATATAGTTCTTGATTAATATCTTATATGTTTGAACTGAGCAAAAAATATTTTCAAATAAACTCATTTTGCACAAAAACTATTAAAGATACAGCTTGATTCAAATTTTATTTTAATATTTAAAGATTGGGCTCTACAAATTGATATTAAATTTGTTTTATATTACTTTCATCTCGTTGATGCTACTAGTAGTCTTATTTGTGATAAAACCTTCGGTATACCATAAATTTATACCCTATGTTAATTTTTTTATCGAGATTAAAATATTTTCCGAGATCAGGAAAAGAAAATTCCATATCATTATCATTTTCCAGGGAAATTACTTTGTCGATAGGATCTATACCAAATTTTTTCAATATTTCAAAATGAAATTATATTAAATAAAAAGAATATGATTATAGAATTAATTATAAATATATTTCAATAATTTTATGTGTATTCACTACTTTCTATATTAGTAGCGAGCTACTTCTATAGCTATTAAAGCTACCGCTACTGAAAAAACGTGCTATATTACTTTAACGACACTGATTATAACCAACAAAAAATTAATGGGGTTTAGCCTAAATAGGCCTGAAAGGATGTAAACAAAATTTTGTAGTCAGATTATAAATTGTAGCTAAATATAAGATTCTTTTTATCAAAATCACTATAGCATAGGGGTTTAGCGAATATGGCGGCCGAAGGTAGTGTAATTTTTTTAGGGGGTAAGATTTTTTAGGGGGGTTTACCTCCATAAAATTTTCTGCCATGTAGACACTTTATCATTGTACTTTGCTGTAAGTATTTAATTGAGAGATCTAGACAGACCCACAACTCAGCCCTCCCCCCCCTGAACCCCGGAGCATTGCCTAAAATGATATTCGTTTTATAATCCTGTCCCAGTAGGACCTAAAAATAAAAGAAATACACCCGGACCGGTTTGCTGATCGGGCTTTCTGGCAGTGCAGGGGTATGAACGCAGAACGTTTTTTGCGATTCCTCAGCCAATAATAAATTAACAGACCCACAATTTATTATTTCATTTCCATATTAAGAAAATAAAGTTTGAGGCCAAACTTTTACATGTTAAAATAATAGGAAAATAGTAATGGATAATGATTAAAGTATGACGTTCGTAGTTATTACCGAAAAATACTTGCTTGCCTCTATACCAAATAACAATTTTTTCTCCTGCAATTAACTCTAAAGAAATATTTAAGATTCTATAATTTTATTCAATTTGTTTTGCGCAATTTAAATGTAAAAAGATATTATAATTCGTTAAATTTTTATACACGAGCTTGCTACATCCCTGTCTCTGATAGCAATAAAATTCTTCAGTAAAAGTTAAGGGATTTTATTAAAAAGAAATTGTGTTTATTACCCTTTACTTGCCGTAATCTACCTTTAAATTGATTCATTATCTATATTATAATTTTCCGATGGCCTCACTACGTCATGTCATCGCTACGTATTTATTTATTTTTATTAATTTTTTTTATTTTTATAAAAGCAAGACTCAAATAAAAAGCAACTATTATATCCTGGTAAATAATATTTATAATTTATAAAAAATTTTATTTATTTACTTTTTTTATAGGTGAAATATTTTGTGAAGAAAATCCAAGAAAGCAAGACTCAAATAAAAAGCAACTACTGGTAAATAATATTTTTAATTTATGATATCAAAAATTAAATATCATTCAATTATTAATTCAACCCATATTCATTTTGAGAAGAAAGGGTAATTCATATTTTTTATTTATAAAAATTGATTTTACAAATCAAACAATCATACACACTTATTTTCCAAAAAATGAGTTTTTACAAGGGCTAATATCAAAAAATAAATATCATTCGATTCTTTCAAGTAAATTAAATTATAAATGCTTATATTTTTTTTACATTTAAAATACATCAATTTTAGCTTCTGATGATATTCCGACTCTTTCTAGAGAGTTGAACCTAATATTGATTCCTCTTCAGGTTTAATACATTAATATTTTTAAAACTATTCTTATGTTTATATTTTAGATAACAAGCCCTGTCTTAACCTCTCTTAATGATTGTACAGATGCTGATTAAGCAACTATTATCCTGGTAAATTATTATTTTTTATTAAAATGAGTTTTTACAAGGGTTGATATCAAAAAATAAATATCATTCAATTATTAATTCTTCCCATATTTATTTTGAGAAGAAAAGCAAAGTAAGGGTAAATAATATTTTTAATATATAAAAATGAGTTTTTACTAATCAAACAATCATCATACACTCTTAGTTTACAAAAAGTATAACATCAATAATTTAAACTTTCCCATTCCAGCTACACACATTCAAAATTATTATGAAAATAGTTTCAAAACACAAAAGATTAACCCTATCTTTTTTTAAACAAAAATGTGGTATAAAACAAGGATGTGCCACTCCCCATTTTCAATCTACTAATTAATGACATCACAAATACCAGTACAAAATGTAGACTGGCTATGCTACGCCTACAACATATATATCATTATTGAAGATCTCATTAACATTAATTATTTTAACAATAGTCTTAAATAATATGTGAAAAATCAGCCTGATAAAAAATTTTAAAAAACTATTCTATTTTCCTTTCCTTTTAATTTCTTTTATTATCTTCACCTTTCTCAAACTTTTTAATTTCCTATTTCTTTCTCTTTAGCTTCCTTTCCCTTTTAATTTCCCTATTTTCTTTCCATTTACAATTAGTATATTTTTTATTATTTAAATAAATTTATATATCTATTTTAAGCATTCTACGTATTTTTAAAGCTATCCATTTTGCCGGGCCGCACAATATGTCCTTTTATCTCTGATGAATATTTTTTCTAACTAACAGAAAAATATCCAAAGTATATTATTTTTAGTATTTAACTAAATTAATATAAATTTTTAAGGATCCTACTTTTTTAAAAGCTTGCCTTTTGTCAGATCCACAATTGCTCTATTCTCCATGCTGATTATTTTGTATAACTCACCAAAAAATAAGTACATTATTTTTATTATAAATAATTTTATATCTATCCTAAAAATCGATATATATATCACAATATTTTTTTTATTCAATTAAAATTATATATTTATTCTTAAGGATCCTACCTTTTTAACAATACTCCTTTTTATTCTTACTAATTTTTTTGTATAACTTAATAAAAAAGACAAAACGGGGTTTTCTATCTTTAGGATTTTACATTTATTCCAAAACAAAATACATACTTTGGTATTTATATTATTTAAATTATTCTATATCTATTCACAAGGTTCCTATTTTTTTTTAATTTGCCAATTGGACTCTCCGAATGGTATTTTATTTTAATCCTACCTTATAAAATTATAATAAGGAACTGTGAACTCCTCTGGAGGTTTATTTTGTTTTTTATCTAATGTTTTATATCTATATGTTTATTATATATGCACCCAGTTGCCTCCTAATGATATTTCTATCACCACTACCACAATCCCTATGTCACCTCTGCCTAATTTTTAACAAATATAAGCATTTAATTCCATTTTCATTCACCTCACTAGGAGTTAATATAAATAATACTTTATCCGATTCCCTGAGGAACGTTCATGAATATTTAGAGGGATGTTCAAACATGAATGTGTAGTGCGGCCAATTTCATTAACATTATTAATGGGAAAATATGCGGTAGTTTTGTTGGCCTTTATAACATTACTTACGACCGTTTTATGGTTGAGTTGACAATGTAGTTCATGATTCTATTTTAGAGGGGGATACCAAAACTGACACTTTGGCAGAAATATCATTTTGCGTTCTTCTTTTATCAGTAGCCCAAGGTCTCAGCTTTATGAGGACGCAATGGGTGTTGTACACTGCTTTGGTAATCCGTCATTATTCATTATTACTTTCACCTACAACCCTAAATGGGATGATATTATACATTAATTATTCTCTGCAGACGACTGCCCAGATTTATTTTGTCGCTTTTTCCATCAAAAACTAAAATGTCATAAAGGATTTGCTCTTAATTTTATCAGACACACAAAATAATAATTAATCTTCTTCATTTTTTTAAAAAATTACCTAAATTTATATGGCAAGAAAAACAAATTTCTTAAAAAATATATAAATAAATTGCATATAGGTTTCATTAGTATTGAATGGCATTTTTGTAATTTAAATAGACAGAATTTTTGTACTTAACATAAAGATATAGATAACCCTTATCAAATTTTTTGATAAAAGGAGTTAACACCCTTCATGTGATGATAAATTATTTAGAAATTTAACTATCTCCGGGTTTGGGAAAAAGTTTTGAAAATTAATATGGGTTGGACTGGGCTTGGTAAATATTCCTCAAGATTAATATTTGCTTGCACCTGACTTGGGAATATCTTTTACAAATTAATATGGGCCGGGCTAGGAAAAAATTTTCAAAATTATTATGGGTTGAGCTAGGCTTGAGAAATTTTTTTAAAATTATAAGGTCTTGGACGCTTGGAAATTTTTTCCAAATATTATGAGCATGGACCTTTCTTGAAAATTTTTAATGTTAAATGTTAGTCTTATGTAACCTATTTACAAAGAATTTTGATATTGGGTAAAAGCTCATTTAAATATATTTTGACTCAAAAAATAGTTTCCACTCTTAGTCCTAATGGGTTAAACTCAATGATATTGGTTGGACTTGAACTAAATGGGGAGGGGAGGGGGGTTTAAAAATAATATAAATTGGATATGATTTTTAAATAAAAGGTAACATCTTTCTTAAAAAAACGAATAAAATTCTCATCTCATTCTCCGTCATTATTAACGGGCTATTCGGAGGAAGAAGTAAATATAATAGAAAAATAGACATTCTAAATAATAATAAAAATAGAAATGCATTAGAAAATAAATATACAAATAGAATAGGCTTCATAGAGCTACTCTGGATAACTTAATTTACTATTCTTAGGAGTAAACAAGGTTCATAGGTATTCTTTTAATAAAACCGGGTATAATTGTCGGAGAGTGATTCTTATTTAGACATAGATTTAAGTAAAATAAAGTTAAAGGAATATATGAAGATTTATAAAAAGTTAATCAAAATATTATTCATAAATGGAAATTTCCGTCCGTGATATATAGCGCATATGCCCTCTGACGTTGAATAAACAACAGCAGAGCTATGCTAGTTTTCCTCATTTCCATCTAATTAGAACATAACTTAATTGGGGTGTAAAGTTAAAAAAAAAATATGAGGAGCCCTCTACACGTTTGTGGGCAAGCCGCAAGTACTTGTACGCGCAACATTTCGAAAAATGTTACAGACGTCCATAGACTTTAAAAAAAAGAGCCTATGCCCAAGAACAGCAGTATAACTTCAGTATTTTAAAGGTGGGCTGTGGCTGATTTTAAATTTAAATTTTTTTTTAATTAAAGCCGTGAATTCATTATATAAAAAAAAAATTTAAAGAGCATACCAATTCCATTTCGGGTTGTCCTGAAAAGGTTTAGAAAATACTAGTTGAGATTAACGTTATAAATTTTAATCAAGCCCAGATATTTTTCATTTAAAATATTTATCTTTAATTCTGAAGAGTTTCTTGGTGGAATTTTTACAGTTGTTTTACTTGATAAATTGTTTCATATTTAAGTTTAGTTCCATTACATCTTTTATAGTTTATAATACCATAAAGATTTATATTTTGTGTATTCTTTCCTATTATAAGTGTAGAGCCATGTAATGGCATCGTGAACTAGATTATGGTCCGAGTTTCTTATGATGTGAGCTAGGAATTGAATACGACGTTTCTTTAATGTAATATGAATTGGAGTATGTTTTGATATTCTCCATAAATTATTATTTGATATTACTTTTGGGTAAAAGATGCCATTTATAATTCGGAGGCAGTTATTTATGAATGATTGTAGTCTTCTATTCTCTGTTTTATTAATTTCCCATAAGTCCCCACCAAATAATAATATAGGAATTATAGTAGAGTTGAAAATTCTTAGTCTGGTGTACACAGAAATCTCTTTCGTTTTCCAAATTTTCATATATTTATAAAACGCCCCTCTCGCTTTTTGTATTCTAATTTTCAACTCTTCTTTACAGCATCCTCTATTGTCAAGCATAACTTCTAAATATTTTATTTAATCTACTATTTTAATCACGTTTTCTCCAATTGTATAATTTAAATTTTAGGCGGCATTTGGGGAAGGAAGAATAAAAGTTTTATTAAAGTTTATTTTTAGACCCAATCTCAAACTTAATGTTTCTAATAAGTATAGATAATTTTTGTTTATTCAACACTTGTAGACACTATGGCGATAACATCAGCATAAGATATTATTCGATTTTCCACACTTATTCTAACATTTGAACACATATCTATTAGATTTGCAGCTCCCAGGGCTTTTTTTATGATTTTATACATTATAATATTG